GAAGCTGGCAACATATACACCAGCTAAGAGCGACGACTTCCCGGGCCGACGATCGCAGGACCCTCCATCTATGGATGGTCATCAAGAAGTTAACCGCGTCATCACGGATCGCAAGTACGGCAGCAAGCCGCGACAGTACAAAGTTACATTCAAAGCATGCGATCTCGACGACACTCGATGGATTTCAGGAACAGATCTGAAGGCATCCGCACCGCTGATCTACGCTCACTACGAGCGACAAAGGTTAGCTCAGGGAACTTCATGACCTGCCCCTCCCACCCGGACTGTGGTCCCTCCCTCAGACAGACAGCTTCGCCCTCGCAAGTAAGCTCGGTCTTTCAAGGAGGGGGGGTGTGGCATACTGTGTAACCACACGGGCCTGCAAGGCCCGTTCCGCATTCTCAGCCTAAAAGCCTAGAAATAAGGGCTTACAGGCCCCCTGTCGTTTCAGCCTAAAAGACTGAAAACGAGGGCCTGCAGGCCCTATGTCGTTTCAGCCTAAAACAGGGCTTTTCAGCCCTGAAGCTTTTCAGCCTGAAACGGAGGGCCACTTTCGGGCCCTCATAAGATCGACCTGCCCTAACACTCAGGCACAAAACCAGGGTTTCAGGAACAGGCTATCTTTAGCCTGTTCCCACGACAGCCTCAAGCAAGAGCTGCAGCGGCAGCCCCTGACTCCCTTCGGCATTGGCAAGAGCAGCCTCCTGGACTGCCTCGCCCTGCAGTCAGGAGGCAGGCCGAGTAGTACATAGGGAGTTCCCATGCACTTCACGGGTAGGTAGTTGGACAGAAGGCAGGAGTAGTCTTCAGGATTCGGCCGCAGCACTCAGGGTGCAGGAGTAGCTTAGCGCTAGCAGTAGTCTTCAGCGCTGGGCGCTAGTAGCCATAGCAGTAGTCTTCAGCGTTGGGCGCTAGTAGGTGGTAGTAGTAGTGTTGGGGAGAGATGGCTGGCGGAGGCTAGTGAGACTTACCTGTGGCGCCATAGCTCCAGCTCCATCTTCGAGGTACCTGCATCAAGGCGCCAACTTCACAAGTTAGTACCGGACTAAGAGAGAGAGAGAGAGAGAGAGTTCTTCTTCTTCCTCTTCTAAGTCTACCATCTCTTCTTCACCCTCTCACTCCTTGACTTCTCAGTATCAGTGGACTACGACAGAGAGAGAGAGTTGTGACTTGAGACTTGACGACATTGGATCTAGGCTCGACATTGGGATTCAGACACTTTGACGAGGGACTATTTGGGCATGTGCCGAAGACTTGGTGTTGACGACATTCCCATCTTCCCCTCTTCTTCGTCTAACCCCCCTCTTCTTCGTCTGTGTATGGTTGGGGCTGGCGCATTGTTCCTGTGTGAGCGCCAGACCCCTTCACACCATGGAATGATGATGATGATGTATGTCCGGGGCTGCATTGCAATATTGATTGTTCGAATCATTGGTATCTAAGTTTTCCGCTGCGCTATCTTGTACTTTGTTAGAGAGGTCGGTTCTTGTTCTGGTCTGCACCTTTACAGTATGCAACAGAGAGACTGAGAAGGGAGAGAGAAGCCATAGCCGAGGAGAGGAAGAGAGAGAGACGATAAAAAAAAAAAAAAAAAGAAGACAGTCAGGGTGAAGAAGGAAGAGGCGAGGTGGAGAGAAGGAAGGTGAAGGGTGGCGACGAAGGTGAAGCCGACCGCCATAGCCGGGAAGTTGACCGGAGGCGTTGACCAACGTTGACTGGCGTTGACTGGGCATTGATCGGAGTTGACCGGGGGTTGACCAGGTTTTGACTGCAGCGTTGACCGAGCATTGACCGAGCGTTGACCGAGCGTTGACCAAGGCGTTGACCAAGATTTTGACCAAGCTGGAGCCGGTATAATATCGCCAAGCCTTCAGCCTATCCCTCGCCCTATGGATGTGTGCACACCCTGTGGTACTTGCTGAGTCAAGTCTGTCTGTCTCTTCTTTCTGCATCGAGTCTCTTCTGTCTAGGTGTAGGAACTCTGTGGATGAAGGATAGGGCCTCGTTGACCAAACCCCTGCCAGACTAAGTAGGGCTAAAGACTGTGTCTGACGACTCAACTGTCCCGGAGGCCTAACCCTCCCAAGGACCGGTACAGACCGGCAGGCTGCTCGGTGTGGCACCGTAGGCCCGAAAGGCTGAGTTCTGGGCTGCGCAACGGGGAGTCTAAGTGTTGAGAGACCTGCTGATCGCGTCGTCCTGTTTGCGACGTTAAATAATTCCTGAGGAGTTACGGGGGATCTCCTTAAATGCCTCCTGATCAGCAACAGGTCTAGTAGTGACAGCCTTAGAATAGGTCTAGGCTAGAGACCCTAGGTGATAGGATCCCTGTCCGGATTCTGTGCGTCTTTAGATTGAGTCAGTCAGGTTGCTAGTCAAGGGTTATAGTCTAAGTGGTGCGGTTTGGAACTCCTAGTCTGGTTGTGCACTAATCACCATGGTTGACACCCGTAGTGGGAAGAGCACTAGCCCCTATACCCAGGCTCAACAGGAGCAGATGGCCGCCCTAGTGAAAGAGAATACAGAGAGGAAATAGCTCCTGACGCAAGCGAAATTTAAAGCAATCGCAGAGGAGCAGACGGCGAAGATGAAGAACCTGGAGGAGGAGATGGAGGAGAAGAAAAAGGCTGCTGAGGAAGAAGCGGCAGCAGAGGGAGCACAAGAGAGAAGACGCAGGGAAGAAAAAAGAGAGAGTAGTGGCACGAAGAATGGGGATGCAGAGATGGAGAAAACGATCAGTGAGTGATAGCTAATTTATCGTTGGGGGAAGACGAGGAGGCACAGTTGTATGTGCCACAGGAGGAGAAGAAGACGTTTGTCAGGGCACTAGCAACAAGTGAGGACCCCTGGAGCGACGAGAGGCAGAGGAGGAGAAGAAGTTGGAGTGGAAGCTGAGGATGAAGAGGGAAAAGAAGAGAATAAGGGAGGAAGTTAACCGGTTGACCACAAAGGTGGAAAAGGTGAGAGCCTGTACACAGGAGGTGCAGGCGCAGGCAAACGTTTCTGCCAAAATGGATAAGATGTTGGGGTACCTGGAGGTGTTGAGTGAGGCCTGGCTGGAGGAACGCCAAGCCAGCTCGGGTCACGATGTGGCCCTGAGCGTTATGCAGTCAGGGTTTCGAGAGTTTGTGCGCGACGTGGTTACCCACGTTGGAGGCGAAGTCAGGCAGTTAAGAGAGAACGTGGGGAAGTTTTGTGAAGGCGCCATCGAGAGTGCCAAAGCGGTAGCCACTGTTGAGAGCGAGGCCAGACCCCGCAAGGACCCCGTTAAACTTAAATTCCCAGACGCATATGGCGGGAAGGAGGAGGAAAATTTTGATAATTGGGAGGCTAGCGTTAACACCTACGTGTACTTACAACACATTCTGACTGAGGAGCAAGTCCTCATAGCCTTCCAGGCCCTCGAGGATGAAGCGGCCAGTTTTGCCTGGTCCCTTGCGCGCGTAGCCGGTTGTGAAAACAACCTGGTTGCATATTCCAAGATCACCCCCCTTCCTCAATTCTTCAAACTCCTGCGAGAAAGGTTTGCTGACCCAACGAGAGGCGTGAGGGCCTCTGACAAGTTACAAACCATCCACTCACGACAGTGGAGGAGTGCACGAGCACTCATGACAGCACTCAAAGCTGTCATGGACGACTTGGTAGCCGTCCCAGACCATGGGGTCAGTGAGGCCCAACTGGTCCAATTATTCTATCGTGCCATGCCAGAGCCGCTGCGTTGGCATTTCTTTGACAAGTCTCAACAGGCCGGCATCACATATGATGTGTTGAGTAGAGAGGTGGTCCTGTTTGAGTCAAAATCCATGCAAGTATCCACTTTCTGGCATAAGGACTTAGATAAGGGGAAGAAGTGGAAAGGGCGTACCATCTCGGGCCAAGTCAGGGCCAAGGATCACATGATCCTTACTTTAGAAGAAGGTGGTACTGATGAAGTCCCCTACAGTGAGATCGAGTGGGGGTTAGAGGAGGACACCAGCGTAGGGCAGGGGAGGTCCTATGCGGTTGTCGCGGCCGGAGGGAGGCCGCAAGGTAGAGGAGGCCAGGGCCAGAGGGGCCAGGCCACGAGAGGCCGAGGATCGGGCGCCCAGGGGGTTGGCGGACAAGGGAACCGCCAAGTGGGAGGTAGGGGTTAAGGTCCCCCGCTGAATCGTCAAGGTTCTAGTCGGTCCCCGCAGCGACGAGGTGGAAGGCCACCTCAACACACAGGAAGATGGCACCCAGGCTTGCCACAAGGCAGGCCATGGGAAGATTTGGGCTTGGACAAGCGCGTATGGCAAGAACGCGTGGACCTGGGTCAGTGCGTGTTTTGTGGTGACCCGGCCCATGTTATCAAATTTTATCCTAAGTATAGACAGGCCCGATGGGCTGCCCAACAGTCAAAAGGCAGCCGCCAATAGGGGTCGCAACTGCCCCTACTTCAATGCCATGTGGGGAAGCGAGCGAGCGCGAACAGGTAACTCCCACACCACATGAGCCTATGGCAAAGGTTGCAGGCCAGTGCCTAGCTACCTGTCCAGAGACTATTTGTGTTAGCGTCTGTCTAGGCACTTCCCTCACAGGCGTAGCAGAAGAGTTGAAGGAGAGGATGCCAGCCTGGGCCAAAATGAAGAAAGAAAGTAAGGGACAACTTATTTTAGTTGATGTAGAAGTTTTCATGAGTAGAGTAGGGGCCCTTATAGATTCACGGGCTACCCGTAGTTATATTAGCCGTAGAGCGCTGAAGAAGCTGAGGCTAGGATTGAAAGTCCAAAAGTTGGCAGACCCCATAGTCAGTGTCCTCGCAGACAACCGCACTATGCGTGTTGAGGACTACATAGAGGGAGTCAGGCGTATTTTCGCCTAGAGAAAGATGGGAAGGTGGAGAAAGTTATCCATTCCCAGACTCTCCTCGTGCAGGACGACCTCCCTTTTGACATAGTGTTAGGAATGGATTGGGGAGAGGCAGCAGGGGCCACACTCCACTTGACATAGCATATGTAGGCTCCCTAGTCCGTCAGGCGAGATTAAGACTGCCCGCCTGTTTCATGTGTCAGGTGTAGACAACACTCTGGCACATTGCTGTCTCAGTGCTCCCGCGTTCGCGTGACAAGTAAAGAAGGAGCAACTGGAGGACCAAGTCTTTGTAGTATATGTCAGACCTGTCACTGAGCCTAAGGAAGGGGATAGTTCCACGGATCCAACCATTGCCAAGCTGCTGGAGGAGTTCAAAGATTTAACCGAGTCGCCGACAGGAGTGGTGCCGCGACCAATCAAGCACATAATAGAAATAGAGCCTAGCAGTAGAACTCCTAAGGGAGCAGTCTATAGGATGTGCCCTAGAGAGTTAGAGGAGCTGCGCAAGCAGTTGGATGAGCTCCTGGAGAAAGGTTGGATTAGGCCCAACTCGTCTCCTTTCGGAGCACCAGTTTTGTTTGTCCCCAAGAAGGAGGGAGAGTTGTGTATCTGCATAGACTACAGTGGTTTGAATGCCATCACAGTGAAGAATGCTGAGCCGCTGCCCAAGATAGACGATCTCTTAGATCGGGTGCAGGGGTGCAAATACTTTTCAAAGATAGATTTAAAGTTCGGGTATCATCAGATAGGGGTCCATCCTGATGACCAGTCCAAGACTGTGTTCCGGACTAGATATGGGCACTATGAGTTTATAGTGATGCCCTTTGGACTGACCAACGCGCCAGCTACATTTCAGCGATGTATGAATGACCTGTTTAGGCCATGGTTAGACAAGTTTGTAGTAGTTTATTTAGATGATATATTAGTTTTCAGCAGGACCCTCCAAGAGCATCAGGATCATTTGAGGTAGGTCTTGGAGAAGCTGAGAGAAGCTAACTTCAAGATTAACCCGAAGAAGTGCGAGTGGGCCAAGACACAAGTCCTGTACTTGGGCCACGTCTTAGATGGAGATGGCATTAAGCCTGAGGACAACAAGATAGCGGCAATTAGAGATTGGCCGACGCCCCGCACACTGACAGAGATGCGGCCGTTTCTAGGCCTAGCTAATTACTACAGGAAGTTCGTAAGGAACTTCTCGACTATCGCCGCTCCCCTTCGTCGGTTGCTAAAGAAAGAGGCAATCTGGCAATGGGACAAAGACTGTACGCCTGCGCGCGTTGATAGAATATCCTGTCCTCAAAGTAGCAGATCCGTCCTTGCCATTTGTCGTCACCACGGACACGAGTCAGTATGGAATAGGCGCCGTGTTGCAGCAGGACGACGACAATGGCTATAGACCCGTAGAGTTCATGTCAGCGAGGATGCCTTCAGAGAAAGTAGCCACCTCAACGTATGAGAGAGAACTCTACGCTCTCAGGCAGGCCTTAGAGCATTGGAAACATTACCTGCTTGGGAGGCACTTCAAAGTATACTCGAACCACGAAACTCTTAGATGGTTAAAGACCCAGGCCAAAATAACACCTAAGTTGACTAGGTGGGCCGCTGAGATAGACCAATACGACTTTGAGCTCAAGCCGGTCAAAGGCAAGTACAACGTAGTTACGGATGCTCTGAGTAGGAGATCAGACTACTTTGGAGCTATAGTGCACTATCTGGACATAGGGAAGGACCTGCAAGAAAAAGTAAGACAGGCATATGCGCAGGATCATATCTATAGCGACCTCCTCAAGAGAGTTAAGGAGGCCCCAGCGACTGAACCACACTACCGCACTACAAAAGGATTGTTGTTTGAGAAGACTGATGTAGTAGACCGCCTGTGCGTCCCCAATAGTGAGGAGATCCGTAGCCTAATCCTAGGGGAATGCCATGACACAGAGGGACACTTCGGTTGGCTGAAGACTTTAGCCAATCTGATGCGTGCGTATACCTGGCGCGGAATGAAAGCTGACTGCATAGAGTATGTTCGCAGTTGCAAAGTTTGCCAGAGGAACAAGACCACTACGCGTGCCCCTCTAGGTCTTCCCAGACCCGTACCTATCCCAGACCAACCTAGAGATTCAGTCTCCATTGACTTCATGGATGCAGGTGTCAAGAGTAGGCACGACAAAAGCCAAGTCATGGTCATAGTTGATAGATTCAGTAAATATGCAGTTTTTGTTCCTTTGCCTGTAGAGGCACGTACCGACTTAATAATTCAGAAGTTTTTCGGTTTTTGGGTCAGTGATCACGGGGTTCCATTGTCTATTGTTAGTGATAGAGACACCCGCTTCACCAGCCAGAACTGGCAGGAACAAATGAAAGCCTATGGGTCAAAGTTGTTAATGTCATCTGGCCGTCATCCAGAGACTAACGGTCAGACAACAGATGAACAAGATCCTGCAGCAAGTTCTGCGCATGTATATTAGACCGGATCAAGTCAATTGGGACGAGATGTTGCCCAAGGTAGCCAGCGCATACAATAACAGTGTGCATTTGTCTACCTGTCGCACTCCCAACGAGTTGCACAAGTCCTTTAGACCCCTCAGACCGTTTGAGGGACTTACCCGGGATCAGATTCACAGGCTACCGCCTGAAACCAGAGAGTTTGCGATACAGCACAAGAGAGAGCTAGCTGCAGTTGTTGAAAACCTCAGGAAGGCCCAGCATCGAATGATAGAACAGGCAAACAAGCACCGTCGCCCGTCTCAATTTCAAGTAGGCGACTTAGAATGGGTCAAGTCCAAAGAGTTTGCCCCTGAGGAGAACATTTCGCAGAAGTTCCTGCAAGCGTATAGAGGACCGTGGCCGGTTCTAGAAGTCAAGGGCGGAGAGGATGGACCGTCCTACACAATAGAGATCCTAGCACACCTCCACACCTATCCTGTATTCCATGCATCAAAGCTATTGCCGTGTGTCACAAGTCGACAGTTCCCTTCAAGAAGATCCATGATCCCTCCGAATATGGATGGAAGATATGACATTGACGGCATTGTAGATGAAGATGTGTTTAGGACAGGCGGTAGAGGTCGTCCACAAAAACAGTATAAGGTCCGGTTTGCTTATCAGGAACCGGAAGACGACCGCTGGTTTATTAGAACAGAACTCCTGGAATTAGCTCCCGACATAGTCAGAGCCTATGAGCGTGATAAGAGGGGTAAAGGTCCTGCCTTGGACTGAGATATTCTCGGAGGACCTCGAATTTAAAACAGCGGGAGTGAAACGGTTTTCCCTTTTTGCAATATCAGATGCAGATCCCAGGGCTCGATCCCTAGTCCTTACCCCACCGTGTACAGTACCTGTGTAGACCCCGAGAGTTGAACCCGTGACCTGTGTACTCGTAAGCAACTGGTAGGCTGTCATAGGTCCGTAGGTTGTAGGGGGTTCGATCTGTAGGTCTGTCGAATAGTAGTCTTAGCTGTAGTCTTCTAGAAGGTCGGCAAGTGGGCAAGTGGGCAAGTGGTGAGCCAAGTGGTAGACTAACTGCAGTACGATTGCAGTACGTCCCCAGTAGGTTAGCAGTGAGTCTCCAAGCAGTTAGCGGTGCAGTTCAGCCAGTCCCACTCCTGTCCAGCAAGTACCATGAGGGCCTGTGTGCACCATGGGCCGATGGAAAGGGGCAGACCAACGAGCTGCAGAAGTATAAATCAGCGCCCAGCCATTCATTCATTCCTGCGTGAGCCATGCGGAAGCGCTGCCACAGCGACTTGTGCAAGGAGGTCTGCAGTGACGCCCAAAGACGAAGTGGGCAGAGAGACGAAGCTTAGCCATAGCGATAGGGTAGAGGTGGCCATAGCCACCATAGCTGTAGTGAGTGTTCAGTGTGTGTGTGTGTGAGAGTTCAGAGAGACGCGTGTGGGATATCCAGGGTGATCCACTGTATGCAAACAGAGGGTTGTATGGGCGCTATATCGCCATAGCCATTGGAAGTGAACTCGTATCTGGTTGCCATATCTCTGAGTACTGAGTGGGCGCATGTCCCCAGTTTGCTGCGCTACTGTTTGCATGCATGTAAACTGTGAATGAAAGCAAGTCTGATTGCAAGTTTATTGCCACAAACCTATCAACTATTTTTTGGGGGAATGTATGAAGCAACTTAGCAAAGAGCAGACAATATGAGGCACCAAAACCCTTATTTTTGCTGTTTTTTGCGCAGTTCTTTCTTTTGGCTTTTTCCATGGTTCCCTTCTCTTTTCTTTGAGGTTTCCCTTTTTACTGTGCCTATCAGGTGTAATGCTCTCCACGTTGGTATGGTTCAGCACCAGGTATTCACCCGTCTGCTTGCCATAACAACAAGAGAGAGAGAGAGAGAGAGAGAGAGAGAGAGAGAGAGAGAGAGAGAGAGAGAGAGAGAGAGAGANAGAGAGAGAGAGAGAGAGAGAGAGAGAGAGAGAGAGAGAGAGAGAGAGAGAGAGAGAGAGAGAGAGAGAGAGAGAGAGTGTTCTAAGGCAATGGCATCCCCCAATTGGGCATCAGAATCGGCGCTTGATGACAGAGAGGAAACACATGGCAGGTATGAGATGCCGATGCTCACAAATCCCCTTAAGTGGCATGCCAGTTGCAGGCCAGCAGAAAAGAACAATGGGCATCAGAGGGGACTGCAATCAGACTGGATGACTTCGTCCTTCAGCATGCATACGAACGGATGACGATCAACCTGGCGACTCGTCGCCCACACAAAGCTCAGAGATAATGAAGCCAAGAACACACAACTCAGATTCAAACTTGTCTTGGTCGGCTATGGCCGACACGTGCACTCTCAGCAACTTGTTCGTACACACTCACTGTATCTCCCCGGATGTCCCGGCACATACGCACACACACAAATCCCACAAACACTAATACCTATCCTGCTGACGTGGCGGCTATGGCTGCCGTCTCCCTCCTGCACTAACACTTTTTGACTATGGCCGATCTTCCTCCTCTTAGCCCTCTTCATCTACGGGCACCTGCAGACGTCCTTGCACAAAACGCTCAGGCAGAGCTTCCACATGGTTCACAGGCAGAATGAATAAATGACTTGACGCTGCCTCTTGATTTATACTTCGGATTGTCAATTGTCTGGCCTTGGACCCTGGACCCAGGGTGCACACAGTCCCACATGGTACTTGCTGACTTGACAAAGTGCGACCAGGACTGGGTACCGCCGACTAAGCGAGGTTGGACTGCCTACTTGCCCACTTGCCCCTAGACTGACTCTTAGGACCTCCGGACCTTCCGGAAGCCTTTAGACTCGACCTCTCGGAAATGTTGCAGCTACGACCCCTACTCAGTAAGGACTCCTACTCGACAGACGTACGGATCGAAACCCAATGACCAGACCATCTACAACAAACGAACAGTTGACTTTCAAAACACAGGTCGCGGGTACAGATACACACAGGGCACTGATAGTCTACATGGGTAAGGTCGAGGTCTAGGGATCGAACCCTGGGAACAGCATCTGCTACCGTAAAGGTGAAAACCGTTTCACTCCCGCCGGCCTAAATTCGAGGTACTCCGAGAATATTTCAATTTTCAGCAAGACTTTTACCTTTCTTAGCTCTTTCATAGGCACGGACTACGTCGGGAGCAGTCTCTAGAAGTTATGTTCATGTAAACCAGCGGTCGTCTTTCGCCTCCTGGTAAGAAAACCTGACTTTGTACTGTTTCTGTGGACGACCTCTACCGCCTGTTCTGAATACATCTTCATCTACTATGCGATCAACGTCGTACCTTCCGTCCATATCTGGAGGGATCATTGATCTCCTTGACGGAAATTGCTGACTCATCGTGCAAGGTAACAACTTTGATGCATGGAAAACTGGATATGTGTGGAGGTGTGCTGCAGTGTTGCATCCCTGCCAACCGCCGACCCCGACCACCGACCGTATCGCAGCCGACCAGTAGGGCCAACCGTTCGGCGGTCTGCCGACCAGTCAGAAAACAACCATCCACTGATTTTTTTTCAAATCTGAGTTGGGGGCTGTACTGCCCTTGCTGAGTACAACCCAAATCCGCTGAGAAACTTTTGGGATGGGGGAGGTATGGGGGGGTTGGGGATGGAGTATAGGGGGGTTATAG